CATCAAGGGTTGGACTTTACTGCTTAATGATCGCATTAAAATGCTTGTCGGCAGCTCAAATAAGCCAGAACTTGACCTTGGTGTGCAGTTTTAACATTCTGGCACTCAGAGGTTTAGAGGATACATTTCCTCATAAACAGCATTGAGGAAATTGTTCAAAGGTGTGAGTCTGTTCTACGTCACGGTGAACCATAACCATGTTTTTAATTACAAATGATCAGATGAGGACAATACAGGTGCAATTCCAAGAGTCCAAGCTCTTTAACACGGTGTTTAACAAAAACTGTAGCGATAGCTTGTGCTGGTATTAGCTGATAGCTAATATTCAAATATATTAGCTGTCAGTTGTTGTGTCATTTGTTGCTTTATTTAAAGAAAAATGTTGTTCAGATTTTTTTTTTTTATACAGTATTGTTACAATAGTTCTTCAGAGCTGATATCAAACAATAAGACAGAGTTTAGGTTATAAATTAGGGTTGAAGCTCCTTTGCATAGCACAAAAGTGGAGAATCAGCTGTGGCCTCGCTTTGCACGTCTGCCTCATATGTACTCTGACTGGGTGTGATGTGGGAAAAGGAAAGCAGTAAAGAGCCAGGAGAGGGAGAGCGAGTGACCTTCTGTTGCAGGTTTTTCTTCCTGACAGCAGTCGTTGTCGGGGCTACACTAAATTTTTGGTCTCCACTGGTTTTATTAAGTCACACAGTCACAGTGTGTGTGTGGGACTGTGCAAGAGAGGGTTTGTGTGTCTGTGTTTGTGCATACTCAACTTTTCAAAGATTTCCAGCAAGGCAGTTTATTTTGCATCTAAACTGGATTAATGCAACGAAAGAGCATCGCCGGACGAACTCTTCCTGAACACTGATGACTCATGTCTCCCACTGTGATGTTATCCGTTGGTTTACAAAGTTAGCTTCAATTTAGCAAATTTCCCATCTCCAAGGAAAAACATAGCCTGGGTTACTGTCCAAAAAGAACATGGTGTTGTGTAAAGTTTTAAAAAACTAATGACTCAGACCTCATTCTCCTATGAAGGTGGTGCACAGCTGGCTGCACTCAGCGATCCTTCAGCCCTCAGTATAAAAGCTGGAGGAGAGGAGAGAGCTCTGGCAGTTTAAAGGTGGCTCGCCCTAGAGAAACATGTGTGCCAACCTTGTGAGCTGTTCGTAACAGTCACCTCCTGCCAGCACTTTAGCTTTTTGCTGTTCCACCCCCTCATGGCCTGGCTCTTTTTGGGGAGGATGGAACAGCTGTTTCTCACAGATACCTGGTGCAGTTTTAGTTTCAAAATTCTTGGTTCAAATAGGAATTTTTGGAAGCAGTGACACAGATTCTGCCTGATTCGCAGTAACAAAAAAAGCGTCAAAAGCAAATATTTGAACTGGACCTTTTGTATTTTTGTATTTTTTTGTGGTCATTACAATAACTGTTCTGCGAGGTCTGTCAGTCTGCACTCAGAGAAAGTAACTTACTGTGTTTTAGGGTACAAGGCTTGTCACCAGCACAGTATCCTTTGAGGCAGTGGTGTCCAAACCCAGGCCTCGAGGGCCGGTGTCCTGCAGGTTTTAGAGGTGTCCTTGATCCATCACAGCTAATTTAAAGGTCATTGGGGGGTCATAGACAGACAGAGAGCTGGATTGCATTTGTATGGAGGTGTGGTCTCATTCCTGAAATTCAGATAGATTATCTCCAAAAAATATGGCCTTAGTTTCAAGGTCTGAATAGTGACATCATTATTGTAACACTGCATTTGTTTTTGGTTTTTTGACAACTAGGGAGCAAACCCTGAAGACTTCTGATCTCACATATCTGTGTGAAAATGGCCCCAACCTCGATAAACACCCCTCGACACCCCGTCATTCATTTCCGGTCAAACTGAATAAAACACTGAAGTTCATTAACTGTATTCTAAGTGTCAGAAAGAAAGATTGCCCAGGATATGCTCATTGACTTGATATGTGGAAATGAGGATTCACAGGTAGCCAATGCAGTTATAAGTTTGCTGCTATTAAATGTGTTTCATTGCTATGAAAACATGTCAGGCAAAACTGCAATATGATGGGAATTTTTAAGACCACCTTTTTAACCACTCTCTGCTTCCAGCCTATATAAAAGGTCGTTGATATATAGTTATACGAATGTAAGTATGGCAGGACTTTGCTAAAACAATAAAGTGGATGATGTCTTCTTCATTTAAAACTCTACTACTGTATATGTAGCTTGACTCATACTGAGGCCTTTAAATCATGAATTATGGAGCCTTATGTCAAGAAAACACTACCCACACTAACATTCCACCCACTCCAGTCACAGTGCAACAGCAGAAATGGAAAGTTCACATATTTTGAGCAGTTTTGCTTGAAAACAGCTGTTTTCTATACCGTAACCTAGATGTCCTAAGACATTCCCATTTAATCCAAATTGGCCCGGATTAAATAAAGACATCTAAGAATGGCAACACACGCTAACAGGCTGAAAGAGTGGTCGGAGCTGGTTTTCCTTCTGTGCATTCTCCTCGTTGTTAACCTTTTAACATTACCTCCAAATGAATGGAAACATTTTTCTCCAGCAGAACGGCAGTGAAATCATTGTTGTTGCTTGTGGTCGGCGCAGGAATGAGCTGTTTTGTCTGCAGGTCGCAGCTGTGGATATATCCTAAAATTAACAGTATAGAATTCCAAAGGAGAGCACGGCCACTAGGCACTGTTATGGGATGGACAAACTTCTTTCCTAAACTTTGTCATGATTGCTTTGTGGAGCAAACAGTGAGCGAGTAACCATAATTTAAGTGGTGCTTTTTATGATCATTGGTAGGTTGCAGAGCCCTCCAGCTATGTGTGTTCTGCTTGTTTATGTGCGTTCAGCCTTTTTAGGAGCCGTTAAACAATCTGCTGATGAGGAAGATGGGGTGGGGCGGGAGAGATGAAGACAGATGTCAATGGCTGCACAGGTGAGTTGGTGCCAAAGACAAAGGATGTCACATCACAAAACGAGGTTTCCAGGTCAGGACGGGTGATTGGATTAAAGCAATAAACGAGAAGTGACTGATCCTGATATGCTGTTAAATTATTATCGGTTTTTATTCTATCCCATCTCACTGTAGGGCATCAAACAGACACTAATATCTTTTCAGGCAGGCTTCCGGTGCTGTTCAAAAAGCCTCTGCCTTAAACATACCAGTACTGAGCCCACATTAAAAATAGTATTTTTATTGTTATCACAGGATAGTTTTCTATTCTTTTTTTCCTTTAACTGTGAAGGCATGTTGATTTCTATGAGCTGTGTTTCTGTTTGCACTCCACTGTGTGTATTATTTGTTTCACTAAGTGAGAAACTTAAAAAAAATTTCAGTTGACAAATTAGATCCGAGATTCCAGGATCGTCTGTTGGTGTCGTATGACAGTATGGTCCAGCCCTGCAATAACTGCATGGATTCATCCAACTTTATTGCTTAGAATTCTTTGTTGACAGTTATATTACATTTGTCTTTATTGCAATTTGATAATGTCAATTAAAGCTGCAAGCAGCAATTAAAGGGCCCTTGCACCTTGGTGCATGCAAACATGGGTGTGTTGCAGTTGAGGCATTTCCTGCATTCGTGTGGATGTTTTACACCCTGGATTCTGACTGACAGCAGCACAAACTAGTTCCTTATCAATTCCTGTGCGCACTATCTGGCATTCAGGAACCACTAATCATGTGTGTCATTGATGGAACGCACAATAAGAAATTAAAATACATGAGATTGTGTTTATTGCCAAATGTTGTTTTTCTTTTGCCTCCCAGTGGTGATACAACTGTGGCACCTAGATGTCTCCAATCTGAGGTTTCTATCAAAAATGTTCAGTCTGTCCTAAACTTGACAATCTACCTTTGAGTTATGAGATGATTTGTCAAATGATAGAAATACAACTTGCTGGCAAGAACATGCTTCAACAAAACCACAGCTCATATTCATCTGATTAAATCTGTGGGTGGAGTTTGTGTCCTGGGTTTGTGGGTTTGTGCCTGAAAACACAGCAAAACTGTCCTGGGTGTTGATTCAAACCCAGGACTTTCACAGCCTTTCTGTGGGGAGTTCGCATGTTCTTCCTTTGCTTCCTCACACGGATCAAAGACATGCCTCTTAGATGTGGATCCTAAATTCTGTTACAGCCCGAGGCCTTTCGTGGGGTGTGTGTGTGTGTGTGTGTGTGTGTGTGTGTGTGTGTGTGTGTGTGTGTGTGTGTGTGTGTGTGCGTGCTTGTGTTTTGATGCAGGAGACTGCAGGAAGTGCCAGTGTTTTGCGAGGCTAGTTAAATGTTGGTTTTGTGACTCTCTTCTTTGTTGCAGCCAACAGGCTGGTTGTAACTTGACTGTTGATGGTGTAAGTAGCTTGGAAAGGAAAGCGTCTGGACTTCTTTAATTTTCTTGAAGATTTTTCACCTCTCATCCGAGAAGCTTCTTCAGTTCTAAGAGCAAATGGTGGAGAGTCCCAGATTTTAAGCCCTTTGGGAGTGTCCTTCTCAGAAGCTTCTCAGATGAGAGGTGAAACATCTTTAAGGAAATTAGAGAAGTCCAGATGCTTTTCTTTCCAAGCTCCTTAGACTACAACAAAACTGGATGACTGAGAACCTTCACTGACATGTTTGGCTGTTGATGGTTGTTAACCCTGGAGTAGACGATGATGAGGGTCCAGGGTGTGTCTTATCCAGTGACAGCTGGGATAGGCTCCAGAAAACCTTAAATTAAATGGGTGGTGCTTTAGATTCATTCTGTCACACCCACTTGCGAAACCCATGAAATATGACCCATGTGTCGAGTCTAAGTTTATAACTTTTTACGGTTTACACCATTCACACCCCCCACCCCCACTCACACACAGAATTGTGACATAATATATGTGCAGAGGTTGAGCTGCACAGTTCTGACTGTCTGAGTTTCTTTACTAGCACTGATAAATAATTTATGAGTTAATGGCATTAAAATGAAATACTTTCCATGCCTTTGCTTTAGGTGCGCCCATCCCCGTAGGCATTGATGTGCAGGTGGAGAGCATCGACAGCATCTCAGAGGTCAACATGGTGAGGATTTTTAATGGCATGTCACAGAGGAAAGGACCCAAATGCAAGATGTCACAATAAAAGTCCAAAAATCCAAAATAGGAAAGACAAGAAATAGCAAGATCCATACATGAAAGGTAGGATTTTGAAGGAAGGCGAATAAAAACAGCTAGATAAGCTGATTTAGGAAAGTGGCAAATAAATCCAATAGAGAAAAAAGGAAGCCCGGGAAGTGAGAGGATAACTGAACACAGGAGATACTAATTGGACCAGTAATCAGAAAGGGAGTGTGACTAACAGGAATGAAGGAAGGTCACAAGTAAATAATCATAAAAGAGGCTGCCTAAATATATTCCTGAAAATGTTGGTTAAATGTCTTAATACAATAGTTTTTACACTGTAAAATAAATAAACAGATTAGTAGATTAAATAAACTATTGGGGTGTTTAACAGAGGTTTGCAGAATCAGGGCCAAACAGCTGGCACTGTTCTTAAAAAGGCCTCAAACCATTTGTGTCAAATGCTGAATGGAGCCTGTGGCCCAGATATGGCCTAAAAAGAATCCAGTCAGACCTGCTGGACTGCTCTGCACACAAAGAGGGCTTAAATTATGAACTTTTCACTGTATTTTAGATCAACAGGCTTTATGCTGCCAACAGTGGCTCAATAATTTACACATTTACTAAACAGGCAAACACTTCCTGCTTTTGTCTCTCCTCCCAGGATCCCTCTGGGGTTGCATCAGGAGGGCCATCCAGGATAAATATATATATATATACATATATATCTGCCAAATTAATCACATAGATCTAACCAGTGTGTCAACCTCTTTGTGCATTGTGCTGCAAATCATTAAGAATTTATTGCGTTTTAGAGTTTGGTATTAAAAGCGCTGCCAGACCACAGCTAAATAAGATCATATAAGTCATTCTGATGAGCCAAAAACAATGTTCCTAAGACAAATTACACCAAAAGCTGTCATATTTTGCCCTTCTTTCATAACCTTTCAGTAAAAATAAAATCATGTAGACAAACTGAACTAAAGAGATTCCTTAACTGTAGTTTTATGACTTTATAGTTTTATGACTTTATAGTTTTATGACTTTATAGTTTTACTGACGTCACTGTTTGTCAGTTGACTCTCTGGCTCTTGATCCCTCAAGTGGCCAGCTTTGAAGTCAGCGCCATGTCTAACTTAAAAGTTCTTCCAGCCAAGAGAGATGAATGAGAACAGGACGGTGCTGCAATGACAGCCTGATCTAAAACAATGGAAGTGTTCACCCCAGGTTCAGGCTCTGCCTGGAACCACATTTTCTGAGCCCCCAGATCTCCCATGAATTCAAACTTGCTTGAAAAACATGAATAAAAATTAAAGAAACATAAGAAGTATATGTTTCTCTGGTGTGTATCTGCCGTCTGTAGGACTTCACCATGACTCTGTACCTGCGTCACTACTGGAAGGACGAGAGGCTGGCGTTCCCGTCTAGAAACAACCAGAGCAGGACTTTTGACTCCCGGCTGGTGAAGAAGATCTGGGTTCCCGACGTCTTCTTCGTCCACTCCAAACGTTCCTTCATCCACGACACCACCATGGAGAACATCATGCTGCGGGTTTACCCTGATGGAAAAATCCTCTACAGCGTCAGGTAGAGGGCAGGTGTTCAGGTGGATGCAGAAGTGTTAAGCTGCAGAGAAGACGATGAAATCCTCTGAAGCTTAGTGCAGCCAATGTTTACTTTATTAAATATATGTGGTGTCAGGAAAACATTGATTTATTAGGGTTTTTTTCATATAATAAAATAAGTAAGTAAAGCATCCCATCTTGCACTGTGCATGTCTGTAGCATCCCTTATGAACCAAGCGTCCCTTAAACTATTCAGAAGCCTCACTGATGGTTTATAAGATGACCAGGAATTTCATTAGGTGCACCTGTTCTACTGCTCATTGACCTAGACATCTGATCAGCCAATGACGTGACAGTAACAATGACATGGCAACCTGCTGAAGTTCAAACTGAGCATCAAAATGAGGAAGAACGGTATTTAAGTGGCTTTAAATGTGACATGAATGTGAATGTGAAGGTGATTGTCTGCAGAAGACAACACATGCTTGAAGCAGATGGGCTACAGCAGAAGAGAACCCGATCAGCTGCCACTCTGCTCAGCTCTGCCCAACAGGAAACTCAGACTACAATTCACAGACAATAGGAAAAATATTAATTTTTCATGAAAAAAATTTAATATTTTCATGTGTGTGCGGGTGCACGGGTATGTTGGTATGGGTATATATATATTTTTGTAGGTTGTGTATCCTTGAGGTGAAAATGTGTATATGTGCGTATGTGTATATACGTATGTATGGATAGACAGAAACATATATGTATATATTAAAAAAAAAAAAAAAAATTTACACATGACATATAATGTAATTGCAAGGAGGTATTTTTGTAGTCTATATACTATATAGTGGAAAAGGGGTGGGATTAAATAAGCTTATGCTTCTTCCTGCTCCTTTTTGAACATGAACTTTATTTGGAGTTGTGGTTGCTCGTTTTCCTTTTGTTTTGCTTTGTTCATTTGTCTCTTTTAATTCTATTTTGTTGTACTTTTTCAACATGTTCAAAATAAAGATTCAATCAATCAATCAATCAATCAAAATATGGCTGGTCTGAGAAGTCTCAATTTCTGATGCAACATTCGGAAACGGCATAAATTTACAGATCATTCCATCTCCACAATGACCACATCTCTATGCATGGGATGTGTTAGAGCAGGAGATCTGATCACGGATCTGCAGCCAGCTAATTTGCAGGAACGGCGGGAAGCTACCGTGTCAATAGCTTCACACAATTGGACCAAAATCTCTGAGGAACAAATTTCTGCCACGAATTACATTATTTTCTGAAAAAAGGAGGTCTGGTATTAAGCAAAGTGTAACTATCTGAACTATCTGGTGAGTGTGTATCAGATGTGACAAACTGACAAAACAGAAATTGTTGCAGCTAGGAAAAAAAAGCTTCTAGATTCCTGCTTTAATCTTTGTTTCCCTGCCCTATTTTCACTTTTCTGACTCTACTTTGGTTTGCTTGAGTTTCAAGGGAGTAAACTGTAAGAACGAACAGTCAAGGACAGCTGCAGGGGAAGCTGTTTTATATCTGTGTGTGTGGGTGTTTCAGGGTCACTGTGACGGCTCTCTGCTCGATGGACTTCAGCAGCTTCCCTTTGGACACACAGAACTGCTCGCTGGAGTTGGAGAGCTGTAAGACGCATTCAGTATATACACACAATAATAAAAACTTCACGTTCTTTAATCATAAAGTAACACATAAATGAAAGGTGGATAATGTCAGCTGACCTCAGTTCTTGTCTTTCTTCTGTTTTCCATCTCCCTTTGTTTCTAATTGTTTCTCACTGTAGACGCGTATAACGAGAATGACCTGATGCTTTACTGGAAGAATGGCAACGACTCTCTGAGGACGGATGAGATCGTATTGTCACAGTTCTTCATTGAGCATTTCCAAGCCTCCAGTGGCCTGGCTTTCTACAGCAGCACCGGTGTGTATAGCACAGGTTGTGTACCTGTAGCATCTGCGGGTACTCACGTTTAGAGACAAAACACAAGTCAGATCATTATGCTCTAAAGCAGGGTCTCAAACTCCAGTCCTCAGAGACCAGTGTCCTGAAACTTTTCCATGTGTCCCTACTGCAACACAGCTGAATACAATTAGTAGGTCATCAGTAAGATTGTGTCATAAAATAATGGAAGTGGGAGCAGATCATATTTAGTAGTCACAAACATATGGACACGTCTGTCTCTTTACTTGTAGATATATTCTTTTAGATTAGAGTGCTTTTAAAGACCTTTGGGATGAACAGGAACTCCAACCTTATCATCAAGTGTCACAGTTTGCTGAAAAGACTGAAGTTTTTCTGTCTGTCTTTGTCAGGCTGGTACAACCGTCTCTTCATAACCTTCATCCTGCGGAGGCACATCTTCTTCTTCATGCTGCAGACGTACTTCCCCACCATGCTGATGGTCGTCCTCTCCTGGGTCTCCTTCTGGATCGATAGACGGGCTGTTCCTGCAAGAGTGTCTCTGGGTATCATTCATTAAGCAAATCCTAAGTACAACCACCTCAAGTCCCAGTCTTTCTGCTCTCTCCTGGCTCTTTAACCACAGTTAAAGAGGCACATTAAACCTGTAAATAGTGCCGTTTCGTTCTGTTCCTTTATTGGGGTGAAGCCTAATGACTTCAGTGATGCTCTAACATTTTATTTTACACCATCATTGATCTATTTTATCCTACACTGCAAGACAAATGATACTGCCAGGATAACATTTATATGAATCTAAAACCTACTGCATCAATATCAATTTGACACAGTTGATGGATATTTTTGATATATATTTGTATTTTTCATCACATCTTATACAGAGTTATATAAACCACAGAAGACAGAAAAACCGGGTCAAGTTGAAGCAAGTGTATTTAGTTTGTTCTGAGTCAAAGTTGCAATATTAACAGGTGGAGTGCTAAGTTGATGCTAGCAAGCTCCATCTATAAACTGTGTGAGTGAGATACCTGTTAATTTGTGCTAACAGACCAATTAAAAACTAGGATTTCACATCCTCAGACTGAAGAACAAACATCATGGATGCTCTGTACTTCACAGCAACATGACGAACACAATCACAGTCCACAGGTTCACTTCAATGACTCCAGCTGGTGGAGCCAAGGCTCAGCAGACGGTTACCACCTTACACTTCTGTGTGTCAGCACACCTGCTCATCAAAGTTATAACAGTAAATGGATGGGTTCCAAAGAAATGTCACCCTCTGAAGAGTTGCTGTAATCACGTGTATCTAAAGGCTTTAACGTGGCAGTCTGTGCAGGAGGATTCATTTTGAAGCCAGCCTCAATGCAAATTTAAAGAACTGCAGTTTTTGGCTTCTTGGTGTCTACACTCATGTCCAAAAACAGAACAAGAACAGCCAGTCTTCACCAAACATCACACGTTATTTGAAAGAATTTGAATGTCATATGTGAAGTCTGTCTGTGTTTTCTCGTCCCCTGCAGGTATAACCACAGTGCTCACCATGTCCACCATCATCACAGGAGTGTCCGCCTCGATGCCTCAGGTAACAGCTGTTTGTGAGAGTTCAGCAGGCCTATGTTGGCTCTGGGTGACCAAAACAGATGATCAGAAAGGAATTTAACAGCATATCAATGCCAAGTTTCTTTTAAATGTTTTGCATTTGCAGTATTTTTATTTATCTTGTGTGAAGCGAAATAGCCCAAAAGATGCTTCTTTGACTTAAACTGTACAAACTTAATCGTGGAGGAAAAGTGCAAAGATCAGGATCACATTTGGGAACTGAAAGTTTCATAATTTGTATAAACACGACGCCGTTTGCTATTTGCCATAATGCCATTTCCTAAATATGTGATAAAACCAACAAAAATGTGTTATGAATTAATTTACAATATATACATTTTGCAGCTTATCTTTAATATTGATAAAACTAGAATTATGCAAAATGAGGAGCTGGGATGGCAATTTTGTCACTTTTTTCTATTTTGTAACTAAAGTAGGAGGATATACCATTGACTGTACATTGCTTTGTTTTTGTTTTTAGGCTTTTTTATAAAGTCTGTTGAAACCCTATTTTAAAAATGGCAACAAAGGAAAAAAATAAGGTTAAAATATAAATAGATAAATGACAAAGGGGTGAACCATATTAAATGTGGCCCTGTATGTGTGAAAACGTGCGATGCTTTCCAGGTGTCGTACGTGAAAGCGGTGGACATCTACCTGTGGACCAGCTTCCTGTTTGTCTTCCTGTCTGTGATTGAATATGCAGCCGTGAACTACTGCACCACTCTGGAGGAGATGAGGAAGATGAAGAGGGGGAAGGTCAGCACAGCACAGGGGGGAAGGGGGATTATTATTGCGCAAAGAGCGAGGCAACATTTTGCTTAATGTCTCACTCTAGTGGCCAATCAGGGCCATTACATGTGCTGCACAGAACCCTCCAGCTGCCTCTTGGATCTTTACTAAGATTTACTCAAACTTTGACATTTTCGTGCAAAGCGTGAGAGCCTTTTTGGAGCCAGAGTATCGATTCAATTCAGTTTTATTAATACAGCGCCAAATCACAACAGTTGCCTCAAGATGCTTTATATTGTAAGGTAGACCCTACAATGATACATAGAGAAAGACCCAGCAATCATAAGACCCTCTCTGGACAAGCAGTTTATCAACAGTGGGAAGGGAAAAACTCCCTTTTAATTGGACGTAACCATTGGCTGCAACCTTCCCTTTCATGTGTGTGAAAAGCCAGTCATTGAGTCAATAGGTTTCAAGCAAAGTGGCCTCTCAAAGCATTAACAAAGTACTTCAGAAGGTGGAGCAGAGTTTAAGGTGGAGCATATTTTTAAACCGCTGAAATCACTAGTTTATTATTTGAGTTGCTTTAATCATAAATATC